TGAACCACGGATGTTGCCGGACCAGGGAATCCTGGACAAGAGAGATTCAACCTATACTTTTTAAAGTAGAACTCCCAAATAACTCATTAAAACAAATATGTTTTCACAAAGAAAATTGGTGCACACAAAATATGTTTTAACTTTTGTGTGTGACAAGAGCAACAAACATAAAATTAATCATTTTGGTGCATTACAATTTAACTTTAAACAAGTGTTTAAAGTGCTTTATTGTTTGTTTCAGTCTTATTGAAATTGAAAGTTCATTTTTGATCAGCCATACAGTTTCATGTCACTGGCCAACTGCTATGCGCAATGTTAGAAGTGACATGGATGCACACATTCCCATGAACGCTGGAGCAAAACCAGGCTTTACTTTTTCTGTATGTATATCAGTCTTCTAGTTCTACCTCACCTTGTCAAAATTGCATCTTGTAAGCAATGTAGCTTTCTTTTCCCTTGATGTCCTATTCTATAACAGTTGTATCTTAAAACGGGCTTATTATAACAGGCTTGTTAACTGTACCATTACGGGTACTTCTTGTGTAAAAAAATTTCCCTGTATTTATGAATGTATACTAATGTATTTTTGTTTCATTTCCAGCTTTATGTAACACAGAGGATTATGGCAACCAAATATTAAAAATTATACAAGCACGCTATGGTCTCCTATGCTTTTTCTTTTTCTTTTGTATTTTTTATCAAACGAGAACTTGGAAAATGACCATTACTACTGGAAGTTCAGAAGAAAAGTATATGGTCAATATGCATACAGTATTGTAAGTTACTGACATTTTAATGTAATTTAATGGACATTACCATTAAGCAGCTGTATTAATATGCCTTTCTACTTTATGTGCGTATGGCCAAGTCACATACACTTAAGGGCACTGTACCAAAGAAAATATCTCTGCCATAAACAGTTTCCTTTCATAATATGAATGCTGTAATACAGAAGTATTCAGTGAATATATATATTATAACCTTTTGAAAGTAATTTTGATATGTTTATTACTAATAGCATTTAATGTAACTGCTGAAGTATTTTGAAATGTATTAAATATTTAAATCTGCTCAAATAACCACTTATTAATTTTGCTGACAGTGGTTTGTTTTTATAGAAACACTATCTTGATTTTGTGATTTAAGCCTTCTAATGAAAATGAATCATGGTCTTCAGTGGTGCAGTGTTGCATGCTAATATATTTGTAGCTGACATAACTAATTTAAGACCAAGTAATTTAAAAATATGGTCTAATCTAGTTTCATCTTCTTTTCAGTGTTCTGCCTCTTTACTTACATGGTTCAGAAGCTGGGCATTTATAAAATAAACTAGTCTGTTAAAGACACACATGAATATATTTACAAACATGAATTGTCCCAATAGTCCCTTGCATGCATAAATTAAACAGGTGTAAGAATTTCCAAGATTGGAGCCTTACTTTGTATCTCCTTACTACGTAAAGACAAAGTGTTTAGTCACTTACAGAATAGGCTGAAGAATCATATTAAAAAAAAAAAAACCCAGACAGACAAACCTTGGAAAGTAACCATAGCTTTGTGGTATTAAAATTATGTCATATAACTAAAACAGATAGCTAAACTTCCCTTTTGTTAACTTCAGCACTTTTGGTTAAAGCACATGTAAAACAATTATTTTAAAATATTAATCCCAATAACTATTTATCTGCAGTAGTCTATAGATAATCTAATTCTTCCAAGATAACTTGTATGTTTTTATGTAATATTTTTGAAATAAAATATTAATACATCACTGAAATAAAATGCACTTGCTGAAATGTCTGAATTGCTTTAAATCCTACTTTTTTGTACATTGGTATTATACACACAGGGTAAGACTCCACATTACTCTTACCCAACAGCCTTTCCTGACTTGCTCCCCAAGCCAGGCCCCTGAGCATATCTGGGTGCTCCTCAGGCTGGGTGGGTGGCACAGCTCTGCTGACACACTCATGCCTCTTCCCTGAAGCAGCTCAACACCGTCTGGTGATACCCTCTGGATCCAGTCCCTACCCAAGGAGTTTGGCTGCGATGAGATGCTCCTCAGTCCCTGGAGTGCTCTTCCCCCTTGTGCATCTGCCTCTAGGCAGCCTGGTCCCACCCTGCTGACTGCCCAGGGACCTGACATTGCAGCCAGGTCACTCCCCACTCGCAGAGCAGAACCAAATTCTTGATCCACTGGGCTGCCCAGCCCCATGACTGCTGGGCGTATGGCCACACAGGCCAAGCTCTAAGCTCAGCCATGTGAGCCTGGTGCCCAGGGGAGGTGGTTTCTGGCAAGAAAGACACTCTCCCACCAGCTCTGGAACCCAAGGCTTTGAGAACAGAGCGACCCCTAGTGTTACTGATTTCAAGTTCTCAAATAGAGGATACTGCTGGGGGGAGAAAAGAATTGGAGGAGCAAGGAGAGGTGCTGGAAAACGTTCCCTCTAATCTTTCCATCCATGTATAGATATTTTTAATCTATGTTCAGAATACATGTAAATGTGCACCACAAACCTAGCTGTGGGCACTCTGCTAATGAGCTGGGTGGCATTAGAATTTCTTCTAAGCAGCTGCACAAGTGCTCAGCTTCCAGGGAATGCTGGAAATTGTACCTGGGGCAGGGCTACTCACTGGAGGTAGGCTGCCCATGTTGGGCGGGGATGGGGCAAATGGGAGCTCCAGCTGCTGCTGCTGGGGGAAAAATACATAAAGAGCTTGTGCTTCTCCCCACATTCCTGTATCTCCTCTTTCCCACTCCATCCCTTCTCTCATTATCTCTCCTGCCTCTTTTCCCCTCCTCCCACATCCCCCTTCACCTGCCTTATCCCCTTCCCCCCTCCTGCCTTAGAATCATAAAGCTGGAAGAGACCTCAGGAGGTCATCAAGTCCAGCCCCCTGTCCAAAGCAGGACCAATCCCAGCTAAGTCAACCCAGCCAGGGCTTTGTCAAGCTGAGACTTGAAAACCTCTAGGGATGGAGATTCCACCACCTCCCTAGGTAACCCATTCCAGTGCTTCACCACCCTCCTCGTGAAATAGGTTTTCCTAATATCCGATCTAGATCTCCCCCAATGCAACTTGAGCCCACTGCTCTTTGATCTGTCACTACTGAGAACAGCCTTTCTCCATCCGCTTTGGAACCTCCCCTCAGGAAGTTGAAGGCTGCTATCAAATCCCCCCTCACTCATCTCTTCTGCAGACTAAACAAACCCAAATCCCTCAACCTCTCCTCAAAGGCAGGGCTTGCCAGCCGCGCTGTCCAGCGATCTGCGCATGTGCATATCGCCCGAACCCAGCTCTTCCAGGTTGTAATCTACTCGCCATGAGGGACCGAGGTAAGGCTGACCGGTCTGTAGTTCCCTGGATTGTCGTCCTTCCCTCTTTTAAAGATGAGCACTACATTTCCTTTTTCCAATCATCCGGGATCTCTCCCGATCTTCACGAGTTTTCAAAGATAATGGCCAAAGGCTCTGCAATGACATTTGCCAACTCCCTCAATACCCTCGGCTGCATTAAATCTGGACCCATGAATTTGTGTCTGTTTAGCTTTTTCTAAATAGTTCCTAACCTGTTCTTTCTCCACCGAGGGCTGCTCACCTCCTTCCCATACTGCATTGACTACTGCAGTAGTCTAGGAGCTAACCTTGTCTGTGAATACAGAAGCAAAGAAAGCATCGAGTACTTCAGCTTTTCCCACATCATCTGTCAGTAGGTTACCTCCCTCATCCAGTAAGGGCCCACACCCTCTCTGATCACCCTCTTAATTGCTAACATGCCTGTACAAACCCTTCTTGTTACCCTTCACATCCCTTGCTAGCTGTAATTCCAATTGCGCTTTTGCCTTCCTGATAAATCCTTTGCATTCTCGAGCAATATATTTATACTCCTCCCTAGTCATCTGTCCAAGTTTCCACTTCTTGTAAGCTTCCTTTTTGTTTTTAAGCTCGCCAAGGATGTCCCCGGTAAGCCAATCTGGTTGCTTACCATATTTGCTTTTCTTACTGCACATTGGGATGGTTTCTTTCTGTGCCTTTAATAAGGCTTATTTAAAATACTGCCAGCTCTCCTGGACTCCTTTCCCCTTCATGTTAGCTTCCCAGAAAATCCTGCCCATCAGTTCTCTGAGGGAGTCAAAGTCTGCTCTTCTGAAGTCCAGGGTGTGTGTTTTGCTATTCTTTTTTTTTTCCTTTTGTCAGGATTCTGAAATCTGTCATCTCATGATCACTTCTTCCCAGGTTGTCACCCACTTCTACTTCCCCTACTAGTTCCTCCCTGTTTGTGAGCAGCAGGTCAAGCTGTGCATGGCCTCTGGTTGGTTCCTTCAGCACTTGTACCAAGAAGTTCTCCCCAACATTCTCAAAAACTTCCTGTATTGTCTGTGTACTGCTGTGTTGGTCTATGGTACACACCAACCACAACATCACCCCTGTTGCTTCCACCTCCAAACAACCTATAGATTCTCAACAGGCTTTTCTCCCTCTAAGTACTGGAGCTCGGAGCAATCATACTGCTCTCTTACATATAGTGCAACTCTTCCTCCTTTTTTCATCTGCCTGTTCTTCCTGAACAGTTTATACCCTTTCATGATAGTGCTCCAGTAATGAAAGTCATCCCACCAAGTCTCTGTTATTCCAATCAAATCATAGTTATTTGACTGGTCCAGGGCTTCTACGTCTTACTGTTTGTACACAAATGCAAGAAGCTTGGGAAACAAACACCTAAGATTACCAGTTGATTGCCCTACCTTCTCCATTTGAATCAGGGGTCCTCCTTTGTTGCTCGTTCCTCCTTCTGTTTCTTCCTGGTATCCAACTTCCCCACTTACCTCAGGGCTTTCATCACTGTCCCCTAACGATCCTAGTTTAAAGCCCTCCTCACTAGTCTCTCCCCCTCCACCAATGCATTCACCATTGTATGGAAAACAGGATCGTAGCCATATGGGACAGCCAGCTGCTGTAGAAGATGATGATGAGATGTTCTATCCAGTTTAGCTCCACCCCTTGGAAGAGATTCCCACCCACTCTGGGATAATCTTCCCATCCTACTCGGGAAGAGGAGGGGTACTTGATCACAGTGAGTTGTAAGGAAATATGTTCCATGGAGAACCCCCCCCCCCATTTCCCATATATATATTAGAAGAAGAATACAGGCAGTCCCCGGGTTACGTGGATCTGACTTACGACGGCTCCCTACTTACGGGGTGAGGGAACGGGGGGAGGGAACCCTGCACTAGCTGCGCCTCCCCCAGCAGA